TGTCACTCATGGGTATGAGGGATTAAAACTGAGCACTAGGAACACTGGCTTCTGGGTCTCCAATGGGGTGCAGTTCAGCTACTCTCTGTGGCCACCCTGTGTCCCTGCGACCAGCGCAGTAAAGAATGATTGCTGCATGCAGCTCTGCAACAGAGTCACCCTCACTTTCGAACCCAATGGTCAACAGACCAGCTTCTCCCCATAGGGGTCTGTGTCCCCCACGTGACCCTAGAAACTGGATTTCAAAGTGTTAGGGAGCTTGTTTCCCTTCGGGTGGAAAAAAAGCCTCGCACCTAGTCGCCTGCCACCAGCCCGAATCACATGCCTCCGTACCTAGGCTCCTCAGCTTTTCAGCACTTGCGCTCCTTTCTCTTTCAGCCAGCCTTCCCATGTTTTTGGGTGACAGACATCCTGTATATCAGTTGTAGTTTTGAAATTGTTGTGCGAAGCGGCAGACCAGTTGTTTACCTGCACTGCCATCTTGATTTCTCCTCTCTCATTCGCCTTGGAATCCCAGGTATCCAGCTAGGTATTTGACCCATTGTAACAGCTCAAGAACTATATTGTTAAATAAACAGATTTCTCTACTTTATAAATTGTCTTTTCTCAAATGAATATTCATAATCCTGCTTCTCTCCCCTCCTTCTTTGCTCCACCACCCCAAATAAAAACCAACATTAGTTTTATGTTAAAAACAGCTCAAATCCCCAAAGACTTGTGTTTGCATATGTGTTACTTGACCAATCACACTTAGTACATAAGAAAGATTCAATTTAAAATATTGGGTAACTACAGATTAAAAAAATGTTCAGAAAAGTAATAGGGGAATGCTATATTCTTCTAAATACAAATTCACTGCAAGCATTTTTGGAGAACTTAACAAATCTTCTGATCTTGTAACAAAAATCTAAATGAAACCATAAATAAAAGTCAAGAGTTATTCATTAACAACGGAGAAACATCAACTTACACATGTAGGCAGAAATCAAGTTGCAGAGCTAAGGATTTATTATTCTCACCTGAGTTTTGCTGGGAACAATGCTGTCTTATTCTGCTATATGCCCGAGTTCAGGGAAGCTCTTTTCAGGGGTTTCTAACTTCAGGGCTAAACTGGGAGGCTGAGATATATTTCCATCTTCTGGAATAGAGACCTGCTCCTGCCTCTCTGGAAATGAATGAACAGTTACAGCCCTTGGTTACAATTAGTTTCCCTTTTGGAGCATTTCCCAGGGGTAAGTGATATGTGAGTGCCTCAAGGAGGAAGTTGTGAGGCAGACCTGGAAACTGGGCTCTGCAGAAGCAAATAAGCTCTTGCGGGATGTGGCTGTGAACACAGTATGTGCTAAAATGTAAATAACACAGCAAATGTACCAAATGTCCCTCTTCCCCTTTTAAATCAGAGGTCTATTCTAAGCAGTTATAGATACACACACACACACACACACTTGGATTCATTTATATTTCTGTTACGTAAAAACCTGAAATCATGTGAACCATGAGTCAGGCTTTATTACTATTGTTGGAAAGACCGTTAGCACAGTGTCTCTCCCCTCCCCTCCCACCTTCCCCTGAGTGACCAGCACCAAGCCCTCCATCAGAAGCTGGAAACCCTGGAATTCACATGGCCAATTATGCAATACTAGACCACTGGGAAGCATTTTTGGCTGGCTCAGCTGGTGATCCGTTTTACCCCGCAGCACCAAGATTGATAGACCTTGTAATTTTATCCTGGTTAGTGCAGATGCTGTGCTTAGCTAAGTTTTTATATTTAAAAACTCTTTTTCTCAAAAAAAAAAAAAAACAACAACAAAGACCTAGCGCTAGCCAGTTTGTTCAATGACTAGAGCATCGGCTTGGGGGGATGGTCTCAGGTTGGATTCTGATCAGAGGCATGGATTGGGGGTTCAATCCAGGACCCCTAGTTGGGCATGTGTGGAAAGCAACCAATTGATGTGTGTCTCTCAAATTGATGTTTCTGTCTCTGTCTCTTTCCCTCTCCCTTCTACTACCCTGTTTCCCTTAAAATAAGACAGTGTCTTATATTAATTTTTTCTCCCAAAGTTGTGCTAGGTCTTATCAGGGGATGTCTTATCTTTCCATGCTCTAGGTCTTATTTTCAGAGGATGTCTTATTTTCGGGGAAACTCGGGTATGTCTAAAAATCAATGGAGAAAATATCCTAGGATCAGGAACAACAACAACAAAAACCCTAACTTCTTCTCAAGTGCTTGTCTTCATGACACCTCTTGGTGCTGAGATGAGTACCCTGATCACTGGCTGGGGATAGAGGGTGGGAGGTTTGGGGGGAGGAGGGAGTAGAAATATCTCAAGATTTCAGAATTCTCATGAGTTTGACTTCACTGAATGCTGTGTGTGCTTGTTGATGAGAACGAATGAAAAGAAACAGTATTTTGGCCCCTGTAAATCACTCCTTTTATGAGGCTTCTTTGGGTGTGAGGGGGATGGGAAAGCGACTTGTTCTTAGAAGGTACAGAATACAAATTCAGGAATGTAGTTTCTCTCATGCTAATGATGAGGCATAATTTTAAAACATCACATTCATATGTATATATGGGGCATACATACATAACTAGTATATTTACCAAGCACCTTGCAGAACCTTAGAACTTCGTAGTTCCATTAACCCTTAAAGGGAAAGCTGGAGTTCAGCTCAGTTAAGCACAACGGAATGTGCCCCCTTTCTGTTAGACTCACATTATCATCCAGGTCTTGGAAAGAGACCTCCAAAGAAATGAAATACTTTTTCTTTTTTTCCTGAAGAACTGTAACAATCTGTTCCATATTTATCTATTTCTGCAGTTTTAATTACAAAATAAGCACTAGCTACTACAAGGAATAACTACACCAGCCAAAAAGATTTTTATAATCTGAGAGAAATGCTCCCATATTGACTACACTAAGAAAAACAACTCCCCTTGCCTTGATTATAAAGAAGGAAGACAGATGGCTTCTTGTTTAAGGCTGTAATTTTACTTTCAGCCTCCTCCCTCCGTTAAAAACAGAATGTACTTTGAGGCTTTAAGAGGAAAAAATCTCAAGGGAAGGTTTTTTTCTTTTTTTATTCCTGGCTACACTGAATAATTCAACACACATTTGAGATTGCTGAGGGAGAGACAAAGAAGAAGATGTTTTCCCTTGTTCTCAGGGAGTTTGCAATCTAATTGTGGAGAATTGGGGCTGGAGCCATTCAAGTTTTTATTTTTTTCACTTTTATTTGATGACTGAATGCTACTGGTAGCACTTAGAATTCACCATCCAGCAGTAATGATGGGCATTCTGATAAAATTCTAAGAGAACACGGGAAGAATGCAAGGGAAGAATTCATCAACTCAAGCAGGATTTGTTGAGTGGTTCCTGATGTTATCTAATCTTGACAACCTTTGGAGGTCATCCCTACTGTTCCTATTTCACAGAGGAGGGTTAGGAAGTGATTCCTCCAGTCACAGTCCTAGGACATAGTATAGGAACACATCAACTAGGGTTTCTCATGTGGCCTTTTCTTGGGCTGTCCCCATGTTCCCATCTTTATTTGCTTAGATTCCCTTTCCAAAGCCTATTAAAGTCAACTTGGTTCTGTGCTATTCCTCCCCCTTAGACTTTGTGTAATCCTTAAAACTTGCTGTCTTTCATTTGGTCAGGCCATCTACAGTCTCATGGCTTTGCATCTTTGCAAATCAACTTTTTCTTTTCTTTTCTTTTCTTTTTTAACTGATTCTGTCTTGGAGACATTCTTTGACAGGAAGAAACATGTAAGAAGGCTTGTAACAGTGCCTGGTACCGGTGATTCTCCTAATATTAACCACGATGTTTAGTTTTATTCCTGCCACCTAATAACTGCTCTCATCTCACACTATCTCCCAAGGACTCTTTTTGGGGCTGCACATTTCTCGAAGGCAGTGACCACGCCAACTCTTAGTTTCTCGACACACTACAGGAACAACAGGCCCCTGTAAAACTGGCAGAAACTTGTCTCTTTTGTTCACCTCTTTATTCCCAGTGCCCACAAGTTACTGGAACTTAGTATGTCCTCAGAAAAATGTTATCATATGAGTTCATACTTGATTATTGTGCACTACCGTCTACACAAGAAAGCGTAGCTCGGAGCCAATAGGGCCCTGGATAACTTTTTGGGGTGCATTTCATCGGGCTCTCCTTCCAAGGCTCAGTCTCCACGTCGGCAAAATGGGGCCAGCAGCAACAGATGCTTGCTCCTCCTCGTCTTCTACCACTTACCCCTTCTCTAGGGAAGGCTTATTGTGTTTGCTTTCCTCTGGATCACAAGCGGGGCCGTCGGAGCAGAAGAAGCCACCGAGGACTTCGAGTTGCGCTCCCAGCGGGGACGGCGAACCACTCCCGCGTGCCCGGCCCGCGTCTCCCGGGCCCGGAAGCAACCCGGCCCCATTTCGGCTGCGAGCCCGCACGGCCCTCGGGCGCCCTCTGGCCCGGAGCCCACGCTCTGCCTCGGTGCCACCGCCAAATGGGCCCGACCCCGCGCAGGCTCCGAAGAGCGCCAAAGGGCCCGGCCTTGCTTTGGCCGCCGCCGCCGCTGGCCGCCCGCGCGGCGCTGCACTGGGGGCGGGGAGTCTGATGGGAGACGCGCGCGGCGCTGAGGAGGCAGCGGCCCGGGAGAGGGAGCGGGAGAGGCACTGGGCGCGGGAGGCGGGAGGCGGGGGACAGGGGGAGGCGCCGCCGCCGCCGCCGCCGCCGCCGCCCGCCCCTTTCCGCTGGGGAGCAGCTGCCGCAGCAGGAGCGGAGCCGGAGCCGCGCAGCCGCCGCCGCCGTGGGATGTGGCCGGCGCTCGCGCCCAGCCCCGCCGCCTCCTGAGTCCCCGCCGCCGTCCGAGCCGCCGCCGCCGCCGCCGCCGCTGCGCCGTGCGGGGCCAGGCCGCGCCCTCCCCGGGCGCCCGCCGGCTCGCATGCCGAGGGGCTCCGGGGCGTAGCTGCGCGCCCGGCGCCGCCTCCGGGCTCCCCCGGCCCCGCCATGGGCTGCTGCAACTCCGCCTCCTCCGCCGCCGCGCAGGTGAGGGCTCCCGCCTCTCGGATGTCTCCCCCGTGCCCCCCGCGGGCGCCCGCCGCCCACTTTCTCCCCCGCAGCCCGCTTTCCTTTCCCGCCGCCCGCGTTCTTCTTCCCCGCATCCTGCCCGCAGCCCACCTGCGCTCCGGAGCCCCCGCCCCCGCCTCCGCGCCCGCCTGTCCCGCAGATGCCCCCGCGCTGTCCCCGCGGCCCCGGGACGCCCCCCGGCCCGCCCGCAGCTCTCCGCCTCCCCTGCCCGACGCGGCCTCCCCTCCCAGTCACACCTGAGCGGCAGGTAGAAGCCACACGGGCGCCTCCTCCCTGCCTGCCCCAGGTGGCACCCCCTTCCCCAGCCTTCCTGGCCTGGCCCCTCTCCTTCCCCCAGCTCGGCGGAGCCTCCCGCCACCTCCCTGTTCACCCACTATTTTCTGTGCTTCCCGGAGGAGTGCCCCCAGCACGGGCTCTTCACCTCCTCTCCCCCCTCTTCCAGCTTCTGCCACAGGAGATGTCCCTTTTCTCCTGCCTGCCGCCCCCACCCCCTACCCATCCCCGATCGGGTTCGGGGATTATTTAAACGGGTCCCGCAGCCCCTCCACGGCCCTCTTCCCGGGTCCCAACCGCTGGCTTCCCACCCCATCCCCCCTCTGTGCCTTGACCCCGGGCTCCGCGGCCTCTCTGCGCCCGGAGGCCCCGGGAGCGCGGGGCCGGGGCCGGGGCCGGGAGGGAGATTGGGCACCTGGGGCGGGGGTGACGGGAGCGTCACGGAAACTCCCTCTTTGTTGCCGGTGTAACAGGAGGGAGAGGTGCCGAATTTAGTTTTTCTGTGGGCACTGGCTGGCTGACTGTTGTCGCCGCCGCCGAGGGCTGAGATGCAGAGATTTCTCCTCCTCGTTTCTACCCTGCCCCCATCCAAATTTCGCCAACCTCCCCCTCTTCCCTTGCGGATCCCAGCCCTTCACCCGGGCATGGACACGTTTAGACAACTGTGCGAGGATCACATGTAATAGGACTTGACTGCTGGCCGCTAATAACTGAGAGGACCTGTTTGTAAATTACCCAATTGAGTGGATTAGCGAGTGTATTTACAAATACGATAAAAAGCCATCAGGAATACTGCATCCAACTGTCTGGCGGTGGTGGTGTATGGAAAATAGGCTCTGACAACGCCTGGGATGTAATCACACAGTTTTCATTAGCGCAGAATTTGACGGTGGGCTTTGATTTGTTTATTTTTGGGGGAGGGGGAAGGGAGAGACGAGGGCTTTTGTTTTAAGAAATCAAGGCTGATGGGTTCTTGGTGAAGAAAAATTCTAGTTTGGAAGGAAAGATGCCTCCCGAGATCTAGCATCTGTGATAATGCCAGAAGTGTTTTTGCTGCTGCTAAATGACTATATATAACTCAGTTTTAAATAACCTGCATACTTGTTCTGAAAATCTGCAATCTGTTAGAAAAGGGCTAGAATTGCAGATGAATGGAGGGCATTTATGTTTTACCAAGTACCCATCCTATTTGTCCAGTCTTCTTTTCTTTTTAGTGTTTGCTTACCCATGTGTTGTTGTTTTTCACAGGCTGATTGGCTTAGTTAGTTAATCCTTCCTATGTAGTTAGAATAGCAAAGAAAAACTATTATACTATGAAGGAGAGGTCAATAGACCAGAGTTTTCTTATTAACAAATGACAGTGTAGAATTACACAATAGCTTTCAACTGGCTGGGGATATTTGAGTGGAGGATGGAATCAAGTTGGGTATTTTCATCTAATATTAACTTAAATGTCATTTTCAACCAAAAAGCTATATTTTATAATGCCTTTCTTTAAAGAACTGGGTAACTTTACATCCTCTTTTGATGATGAAATACCTTTAAGGCAGGAAAGTATTGATAATCTGTGGATGGCTTGTTCAGTGACTGAACAATTAATTTTGGGAGGCATGCTGCACCAAAACTCTGCTCTGATAACAGGTAGCGAGCAAATCTTGGCATTCGTCTGCCTCCCTATTATACTTTTCAGGAAGCTGTCACATACATTCATTCTTTGCTTTTTTTCTCCACTTGGAGCCACTGTTTCCTTCATGCTATGTTCTACAGACAAGATGCATGTCACGCACCCCAAGGGGTGCGTATTGCCCCCACCTCCCTCCTGTGAATTCCTATAACCAATCAGCAGCTGTCACATGCCTCTAAGTTCCGCTTTAGGGACTTGTAGTATTCAGTGGAGCATTGAGAAGCAGGTTTTGTGTCAAAGAGCTCATCATTCCCTCCCTCACCCCTCCTTCCTTGAGATTTTGGCATCATTCTTTACTTGTGAAATGTTACCAGTCTGCTGACATTTTAATGGTCCTTTCGGGAGCATCCCCAGCTTTAGAATGATACTGTATCTATGTGTGTGATGCTGAAACATAGGGATGTGAGAGGCAATCTTCTCCAGTTGAGAGCCTGCCCACCACTTCAAACCTCTCCCAGAAGCAGAATATGTTTCTTTCATCCCTTCTGCTGGATTGTAAGCTCCTTGAGTATAGGAGCTACTTTCCCCCATCCTCGTAATCCACCGCAGTGCCCTCCATACCTTGTACATACGAGTTGTTCAGCAGTAGTCAACGAACAGAATTATGTGCATAGATTCGAACATCTGGCTGCCAAGTAACATGGCCTATGAATCCAGCCCTGATCCAAGTGTTTGACTTTCACGGCTGGTTGACTAATTCCACCAAGCCTTCCTCTTCTAGGAACTGTTTTAAGATTCACTCACCTGCCTTTCTCACATTCCTTCCAATTTTGTCTCTGACCATGTCCGTGTGCAAAGTTGAGTAGGTTTTTCCTTTTCTCCTGAGATCTTTGCTCAATGCTTATATTTCCTTTGGAAAGGGGACTATAACACCTTGAAAGAGCTTGTCTGCAAACGCTAATGATGACCTGAGGCACATCAAAAAACTGTGCTGGGAGATAATCTGCATTTCAACAGAAGCTTTTCTCAGTGCCCCAGTCAGCAATGTTACAACCCTGGCAGGTTTTATCAATAAATAACGTGTTTTTTTCTTTTTCTAATACAGATTCACTTTTTTTTACTTTCCCCTGCTTTGTTCTAGACTCTCATAAGAGAGTTTATGGTCTTCCAAACTATTTCATCTCTTTATAGGCTGTCCTTGTGTTACTTTTATAATTGGCCACCAAAATAATTATCCTGTTTCAGGATTCAGATCAAAGGAAAGTGTCAACATTCTGTGTTCACTTGTATTTTATTGCTGAAGGAGAAGGTTATTGGCAAAATAATTTGTACTGTATTGGGTGTGTACATCTAAGATTCTTAAGTGTATTAACCAGTCACGGCTCTTATAGGACTCTTAATTATGTTTCCCTTTTTTTTTAAGTGACCATTAACAAGTTGCTTGCTAATATTAATACTTGCTCAAAACAAGCCAACACAAGATAGTCATTGCCTAAAAATCTCTTTGAAGAGAACATAAAAGTGATATAGTGTTTTTTGTGTGGTTGCTTTTATTTTTAGACTAATCCTCCCTTAGGCTCTTAAAATTTATTCCCAACTCTTCATAATTCGTTTGTTCTGTTCTAACCTGACATAATTTCTACACTTACAGCGTTAAACTTGAAAGTTCACTTGTAAATCTTTAGGTTTATGAAATGTTCTTTCCGATTGACAAACCAGTTTGAATGAAGGAAGCTTTGAAAGATTACTTAGCAAATTGCCCTAAGTCTTAGTCCTTAATGGCTAGATCATTATTTCTCACAGCAGTGCTTTGGAGGCCAGGAGAGTTTGCAAGTGCTCTGAAGTTCTCTGTCCTTTCCCCATCTAATCTTAGAAATTGTGGGAGGGATGGAGGAAAGTCTTCTCTGATTGAACACACTGCCCATCTGTCTGATGTCAGGAGAAATTGTACTTGTCTACATGATCTTTAAATTGAGAGCTATACATTTCACTGTCTTTTTTCTAGCCTTTGTATTGTGGGAGTGATGAAAAACAATCAAGTGGTTCATAAACACTGGCTAACTTTTGAGAATGTTAACTGTTCCTTAACAGATTTCTTTTATAATACTGTAGTCTCCCTCTGCTTTGTGGAATTTGAAGTCAGATGATAATGAAATGTGAAAAATGTAGTGGGAATTGCCAACAGAGACTAAGTTGTTCCACTAAAATATGTCCAGCAAAGTAGATTTGCTCTCCTTGGAAACAAAAAAGTCATGGCATGAAGATAGTTTTTTTTTTTTTTTTTTTTTTTTTCTCCTTTATAATACTGTACTGGTAGCAAATAAGAGCAACTCCTCAAAAATGTAAATGAAACTTAGTATTCACATTGGCTGGAAATAAAGTAAAAGTAAAGTATTGCTGTTTTTCACAGCCATCTTCATGTTTTAATTCTACAGTAACTCTGAATGGAAATGGAGACCTGGGGACTGGGACACCTAGCTTATGTCACAGAGCTTCTAGTGATCCAAACTTCACCTCAGGTCTCCGACTCTGAGTGCTCTCTATGTTCCCATGCACGCTTCCCACATCTTACAATTGCAGCTCGCTTTATCTTTAGAAACGGTCCACTCAATACAATTTTAAACGAAGGAATTTCCATGTTATATTCATACCAGCGTTTTGAAGTCCTGGCAGTTTACTAGCTGGGGAGCAACATAGTACAATATAGCAAAACTAGTCCAACTAGAATGTCCCCAGGCTTAACAGATGCTATCAGATACTCTTTGATGTATTACGTCTCTCATTAAAAATGTTATTGACTGGCCCTGGCCAGTGTGGCTCAGTTGGTTGGGCATTGTTCCCTGCACCTAACTGTTGCCGATTCGATTCCTGATCAGGGCACATTCCTGGGCTGTGGGCTGGGTTCCCTGTTAGGGATGTGGTCGGGGGTGATGGACCCATGTATTATTCTCACATCAATCTTTCTCTTCTTCTATTTCTAAAAATCAATAAAAAAATTTTAAATCTTACTGGCTGGGGAAGATTATTTATAAAAATGTATTCTAGTGGTAATTGGTTAATA